TGTTTAGTTTATTGGGGATGAGAAGTTGCTGCCTTTTCTGGTTCTTTGACATTCATTCTTGGCATACCAGGAAGAACAAATCATTAGAACTGTTTAGAACAACTATGTCACCTCGGCTAAAGTAGTACAATTAGCAACAAGAGGATCAAACACAGTTTAGAGAATGAGAAACTGTGGCTATTAATTTGCTGTCTTTAACCATATGAGTGACCTTTGGGGCTGTATGACAAAATCTAAAATTGTATACAGTGACTATGACCTCGACATGGTTATTTTACCCTGAGGAGAGAGAATTTAAAGGCGGTTAAGGGAAAAATAGAGAAATAAAAGAAGAGGAAGATATTAGAAGCAAGGCTGGAGGACAAAAGATTATGCAAACTTTGGGAAACTGGTGAAGAAGACAGGAGGGAAAAAGAAAAGGAACAAATAAAAACAAGAACTTCTAAACAACAACAATAAGCAAACTAGAAACAATATAAAAACAAGAACAAACAATCAAGAAAAAAGAAAAGAAAAGAAGGGAAAAAAAAGTCCACTTCAGGGCGTGTCTCTGCTGTCACTGCTAAACAGAGTGGGCAGACAGAGCCCGGACCCGTGCTGATTGAGTACAGCAAACCAGCGGTAGGTTCATGGCGGGGCAGGGGATAATCCCAGCAAGCCCGCACCGATCAAGTTCAGGTTGATTTCTGGCTTGAGGCTGGGACCCAGTTTGTTCAGCCTGCAACGATCTGTGTACCTCCTGCCCGTTTGATCTCTGCTCTTTCTCAACTTCAACTTGGTTTGTCGACCTCCAGCCCATTTGAACTTGGTTCTGCCTCCCCATCACTGACAACTGCTATATGGAGCTGGCCTGCAGCTTCTCTGAGGTCCAAGTGTAGTTGGCCCTTCGCCAAGATGACAGCCAATCGCCCTCTCCTGGGGGTCTTCTGAACCTCAACAGCTCACCAGCCACTGCAGTCTGCTGCATCACCGCTCCACTCCACTCCATGCATCTGCAGGTTAAGCTAGCCCTCCCACCCAGTGAGTTAGGGTTGGGGGTCCCTGTTGGCTTCTCTCTCCTTACTCTCCCCATTGAGTACAATTGTTGCTTCATCCCCTTCCTGGGTGTCCGGGACCCACTTCCTTCCTTCTTGTCTTCCTAACATTCCTATATGCCAGCCTCTGGACATCAAATCTTGGAGAGACTGTTTCTTTGCTGTTTACCATTCCACCATCTTCTTGGAAGTCTGAGAATTTTTAAATAGGTGGACATCTACCTTTGAGTCGGACAACCAAACAATTTATTTGACAGATTTATTTAAGGCAAATTTCCTCTATCGGCAACACTCTGCCTCAGGTTGTGGTCCTCAAGCACAAGGCTCTGGGTTCTACTATCTTTAGGAGGAGTGTCAATTTCTTCAAAAATTTGGGGTGTTAGATGGGTGTGGTGGCACGTGTCTTCAGTCCTGGGTATTCTAGAGGCTGAGGCAGGAGGATTTCAAGTTCTAGTTCATCCTTTGCAACTAAGCAAAATCTTGTCCCAAAATAAAATTTAAAAGAAGAAAGAAAAGGGCTGGGATAGAGCTCAGTGGTGGAGCACTTACCTTGCATGCACGAGGCTCTGGGTTCCACTCCCAGTACTAAAAAAATAATAAAAAAGAATTTAGGGTCTCTCCTAGAGTTCTCTGATCCAATGTGCTTGGAGAGCTGAGCCTTGAGCACCACCATGGTGGGTGGTTGTGTGGCAAGACTGTGCAGATGGGTGGGGACAGATGAGTGGAAGGAAAGAGGGCTCTACTTACTGAAACCCAGCGCTGTGGGCCTGGCCTCCCTGCCCTCCCTAGGAGGAGCTTTGCTCCCATCAGCCCCCTGTGGGGTACGAATTCCACAGGAAGCTGTGATCTGTGCTCTGGGTGAAGGGGCCCCTCAGGACCTAGCCAGGTCTAAAATGCAAGCACCCCGCCTTCTAGAGCCCTTTGGCCTACCATACCTTTCCTTTGAGGGTAAGAACATGCTCAGAGAGTGCTCGGCCCTGGGCCACACCCCATGACATCCTTCTCCACTCCTCGTGAGCACCCCAGTGGTTCTCAGTGAACTGTGGGGTCCAGAGAAGACGAGGGAGCAGGACAAGGGGACAAAGACATAAGCAGGTCAGCCCCAATCTTGTGTCTTCCAGAAGGGTGTGGAGCATGAGCGTTGGGGTGAAGCTCAACCTTTATTTAAGGTGAGAAAGGAAATGAACTAACAGGAAGAGAAGAGAGAACATATGCCCTGCACACCGAGCAGACACTGCATGGGTAGGAAGAGCGTGGCCATGACACCCAGTGGCCGCCATCTTTTTTACGTGGGTGATCAGATCCGGGCAGGCAAGGTGCAGCGCAGGGCTCTGTGTATGTGCCTGGCCCTGTGCCTGCGCCTGGCCTTGACAACTAGGTCTCCTTGACTGACGGGGGAGGCCTGATTGTCTCGCTGTTGCACGACACCCTAATCTCCTACTACAACCGACAGAGTGAGGGGCAGGCATGTGCAAGGGGACAGCAAAGACTGCGACTATTTTACCCAGAGCTCACCACCACCCCCCTCCCCCCCGCACACACATACACACTTACTCTCTTACAGAGCAGAATGCGGAAGTCCAAACCCAGTATCCCAGGACCAAAGTCAGAGTATCAGCAGGGCGCCTCCTGCCTCAGCCTCCCTACTGCTGAAATTACAGGCATGTGCCACCATGCATAGATTTTTTTTGGTACCTGAATCAAACCCATGACTTTGCATTTGTCAGGCAGGCACTGTGCTACTGAGCTGTATCACAAGCCCCTCAACTTTTTTTTGAAAGAGGGGGTCTTGCTATGTAGCCCAGGTGGGCCTCAACCTCATGGCAATCCTCCTGCATCAGCCTCTCAAGTGTTGAGCCACCATGCCGGCTGCCTCCTGCCTTTGGCACTCACATTTCTTAGCTCTTGGCTCACCAGCATCGAACATCTTTGTTTCCTGGCCTCTGCTCCTACCCCTTACACTGGCCCTTGTGATTACAAGCAAGGCCGCCCGGGTAATCCAGCACACTCTGCCCATCTCTGAATCCTGGATCTTGCCTGGAAAATTGGATCTTCATGGATTCCAGGGATGAGAATGTGGGTGCATCTGGGGCAGGTGCACACCAAGCTCCAGGTGCCCAGAACCTTCAGGCCCAGGTCCCCAAGGTCACCTCCAGCCTTCCAGCCCCACCCTTGTCTGCGGTGCCTCTGCTGTCCCGGATACCCACGCAGCCCTTCTCTTGATGGCGATGCTGCTCCTAACCAGTGATTTCGGCCCCTTTGCCAGCTGGCCTGACCTTTCCCAGCTCACCCACTTTCTCAGGGAAGCAACTGTGGTATCAGAAGAGGCTGGAAGAATGGGTGGTCCCTTCCAGATCGTTCCTGTTGCTGCCGCAGGACGGGTCAGGCATGGATGGGCAGGGAGCCAGCCATGCGTCCAGCAGCCACAAGGGGCAAAGTTTCCTCTTTACTGGACACAAAGGTGACGATGCCATTGCATTATCTGCAGCCTTCTGTCTGCCACCTGGAATGTGGGACCTGACTGAGTCCAGGGAGCCAGCCAGGGCCAGGCGGCAGGCAGAGGGGACAAGGACATGCAGAGCTGCCAGCCTGCTCCCTCTAGGCCTCTCCTGTCCTGGCTGGTGTCTCTTGGGCACCCTGGCTGCCCTGTGGTGGCCCTCACGCCCTCTGCACATCCTGCAGTGGCACTGGCTCCCTCCTACTCCCTCCAGAGCCCGCAGCCCCACCGCCCCGATCCCAGCCCTCAACTGGTACAGTGCAGCCATGCAGGCCCACGCACATCTATGCCAAATCAAACAGGCCTTGACCTCGAGCCCAAGATCAGTGAGAACTTGGCTTCCTGGATAAGGTGGGCATCGTCCTTCTCCCCGGGCTGCTCCTCCCCGTTCCAAACTCATGGTCCTAGAGGGGCTGCTGTGCCATCCTGTAAGCCTGGCAGGGGCAGGGCTGCCAGGGAGTAGCTATATGCATGGAGAGAGACAGAGCTCACCAGCAAGGCATGGAGGACCCAGAATAAGACTTGCCTGCAGCTCAACAGCTGATCCCAGGGGTTCCTCCGGGGCATCTGTCCCCACAGGGATGCTCTGTGGGCCCCCGAATGTACCCTGGTATTTGACTTCTGGTCACGTGATGTTCTGGAGGTCAGCCAGCCCGTTGCAAGCTGCTTCTGGACCACGTGGGAGCCAGGGAGTGACCCTGAGCTTGTGGCCCCTCCTCTCCCAGGTTAGGGCTGCGTGTGGGTCTTGCAGGGCATCACCATCCCCAACCCCCAGACGGCATAACGTCACTGGGTGCGGTGCAGCATGGCTGTGTCACCAGCCTGTGTGGTGTCACCTCTGACCCTGCTGGCCCCAGGACTGCAGTTCCCAAGGCGGAGCTCTAGCCCGGCTCTGTGCGGCTGCCTAGGGATAGCCCCAGCGGGTATCTCTGTCGTCAGCCCCAGAACCCACCTGCTCCTCCTGGGTAACCATGGAGACCGCAGAGGGCAGGGAAGGACACGTGTGTTTAGTCTTCAAACGGAGCCATGGGCCGGCAGCTTCTCCCCAAAAGCAGCACTGCGGGTGTTATGGGGTGTTTGCTTGGCATTCCTGACGGGAGCTGGGGATGTGATGAGCCCGGGGACTGCGCAGAGGTCCTACCCGGCCGAGTCCTGCCCCCTCTGCTGCGGGCGACTGTGTGTCCAGCCTTTCCTTTTCTGGCAGGGGTCCTTGGAGTTGAACCCAGGGCCCTCACGCTTAGTGACATCTCTGGCCCCTTTGTATTCTCTATTTTGATACTCTGTTTCTCTTCGGAGCCAATAAATCTTTTGCGTTTTTGAGTCAAGGTTTCACTAAGTCACTAAGGCTGGTTTGAACTTGCCATCCTCCTGCCTCAGCTTCCCACAGTGCCAGGATTATAGGCATGTATTACCTCACTGGCTGCAGCCACGCCTTATGAAAGACACAGAGAGAAAGGCAAGCGGGGAGGGAGGGTTTCATTTTTCATCTTTATTAGTTTTTTGAGATACTGTCTCCCTATATGCTCTAGGCTGGCCTTGAACATGTGATTTTCCTGCCTCAGCCTCCAGATTGCTGGGACTACAGGCATGTGTCACCGATGCCTGCCATGAGAATTTTCTTGTTCCTTTTAATTCTAGAGCCTTTCTTTTATAAAATATTGGTTTTACTACCTCTGTACCTCAGTTTCCTCATCTGTAAAAGGGGATAATAACAGTATTTACTCCATAGGGCTCTTTTGAGGATTTAAGAAACATAGATCCCTTAGGAACTGTGTCTGGCGATTGGGTTTGGTGGTGCATGACCAGAGTCACAGCCCTCCAAAGGGTGAGGCAGGAGGACCACAAGGAGATTGAGAGCAGCCTGGACAACACAGGGAGACCTGTCTCTTAAAGAGGAAGAGGAGGGGGGGGGAGGAGGAGGAGGAGGAGGAGAAGCGCCACACCTGGAAATTAGAAGCAATAATCTGCATTAGTCATCACCATCATCACTGTGATAACGGTCAGCGCAGAAAGTGCCGGATAGAGCACTGAAATTACAAAATAGGGAGGTTTTAGGGCACAGTGAGGGTGCCCCCTAGGGGAATCCTTTAAGCCAGATGAGACACCCCAGTTTCTGTCTTTTATTCCTTTTTTTTTTTTTTTTTTTTTTTGTCTCTTTCCTTTTTATCGGTACTGGGATTGAACTCACGACTATCTGCTTGCAAGGCAGGTGCTTATGCCGCTGAGCTAAATCCCCAGCCCCTAGTTTCTGTCTTTTTTTCCTTCCTTTATTTTTTTTAGACAGGGTTTCGCTATGCAGTTGAGGCTGTCCTTAAACTCACAGGGCTCCTGCTGCCTCAGCCTACAGGGGTTACAGGGTGTGCACCACCATGCCAGACACCCAGATTCTTCTTTGTTGTTGTCACTTCTGCACCCCCCCCACCAGCGTCTACCCAGGCTCCTCTGTTCTGCTCACCGGGAGGACGGGAAAGCCTCCTCCAGCCTGCAGTTGTGCTGGCTCCAGCACAGACGCCTCCGGCGCTCCTGCTTCAGCCTCCCAGGGCCGTGACAGCCGAGCCCGCCTGCCTTGTGAGCAGCGCCGAAGCCTTCAGTGGCTCCCTTACAGCGGGCCAGCGTCCTCAGGGCACCTCCTGGCCGCAGCTCCACCAGCACCCTCTACAGCCTGCACCCTGGCAGGGCTCACTCCACTGAAACTGCTGCGCAGATGGCTCTGGATTCACGGGGTAAAAGGCAGGGAGTGCTGGGCCAGAGGGCGCCCCTGGATCCCGGGAAATCACAAGGATCCCCTGGCGGGGGATGAAACAATGAAGGATCCTGTGTGGCACCAGGACGGCAAGGCGGAGTCCAGCTGCTGTCTGCAGCTGCCTGCTGGGACTTTTGCAGGGCAGGAGAGCAGCAGAGGGGAAGAAGGGAACAACTGCTGTGCCAGGAGAGGACAGGCACCGTCCCGAAGGCCTGCGGGGGACCTCGCCCTACCCCACCTCCTCAGGACTCAGGGCCAGGCCTGTGATCCCAGCACACGGGACACTGAGGCAGGAGGAGCACCATGAATGGAGGGCTACATAGTGAGTTCAAGGCCAGCCTGAACTACAGAGCAACACCTTGTCTCAAAATCAAATCCAGGCTGAGCAGGGCCATCACAAATGGGCAAATGAAGCCAGTGCCCGTCTGCCCAGCAGAGGAGGTTAATCACACAGCCTTGTCCTGCCGCCCTCCTCCTCCAACCTGTTCCTCACAACAGCCCTTCCGCCGGCCTCCCAGGCTCCTCTGTCACCATGCTGACCACCACTTTTGAGGGGTAGGTGCCCCGCAGGAAGCGAACAGGTGAGGCACCTTATCAGGTTTTAAGGGAACAATATTGTCAAATAATAAATTTTATTTTTAAATGTCCACTGCAGGGGCTGGGGATTTAGCTCAGTGGCATAAGCGCCTGCCTTGCAAATGAGCGGTCATGAGTTTGATCCCTAGGACCTATTAAAAATATATATATATCCATTGCATATGGAAAAATCCACTTCTGTTACTCCAAATCCCACCCCCTTGGGGGCTTCCCAGTGTCCCCTTAGCTAAAGCAGAGCTGCAGCTGTGGGGGCAAAGCAGACAGCAGAGGTTTTGAGGCCTGACGGTGGTTCTGAGGCCCAGAGGGTCAAATCAATTTCCCTGTTTTTAGTTCCGGCTTATGGCTTATTTGACAATATTGTTCCCTCAGAACCCAAAAAGGCACCCCATCTACTTGCTTCCAGTCTTTTCTAGCTGCCAGCAACCACACACAAAATCTATTTTTATTATATTTTTTTAAATTTTTGAGTCAGGGTCTCATTATGTAACCCAGGCTGGCCTCGAACTCTCAGCAATCCTCCTGCCTCAGCCTCCCGAGTGCTGGAATTGAGGACATGAGCCACCACTCCGGATACAAAATCCCTTTTTAGATACAGTTCTCAGGCTGTCTCCAGTGTGTCCTTCTTTATGGCAGAGTAGTACTCCATTTCAAAGGCTTTTTGAAAATGATTTCTAAGTTTAGCCTACAGATGAACCAACCTTCACCTGAGCCTACCTTATTCTTCTAAGACCTTGTCTGGTAGCAACCACGTTCACAGCCTCTTTGCCCAGGCTGGAGCCCAGAGGACAGCAGCCTCTCACTCTGGGCAACAGCTTCATCAGGGGCTTAACCTGGCAGCGTGGAGCCATAAAACCAACATTTAGGCTGCTTGTAGCACCCTCTGACTTGGTGTGACCTCTGACTTGGTGTGACCTGTACTCATGGACACTTACTTACTTACTGTGTGGTTAGGGACAGCGTATGTCCCTCCTCACTCTCTAGGGGGAAGAAGAGAAGGGGTGACAGGCTGGGACCTCTGCTCCTTGCTGCTGTCCTGTGATAGTGGCTTCAAGGGGCACCAGACAGCGGTCCACGCGGCTGATGGAGGAAAGGGGAGATAAGGTTCCATCGGTACGTAAAGTTCAGGGCTGCTCTCGCACAAAGCCAGCTGGGGTGGTTGGCTGCTGTGGCAACTGCCGGGCTTCCAGAGCCCGAGACGCTCTCCTTCCCTGCCACAGACGGAATCCGGGGCCCTGACCACGTCTGACTCAGCACCTGAGGGTCACACGCCTGGACTTCCTGTCCTTAAGCAAACTCCATCCTTTCGCCCACACAGGTGCTGTTTCTGTGTGGTCTCTAAGGACAGCAGGTTCCGGCCCCGTCTGGGCAACTTAGCCACTTAGCAAGACCTGGGCTCAAAAGGCAAAACCTGTGGACAGTTCGCTCTCACTGCCGCACCCAAACTAGAAAGCCCAGGTGTTCTGTGACCTCCGAGCTGCCCACGCTCGGTCCCCACGCCCACTCAGATGTGTGTCTCCCAGTCTCGGCCAAGGTCCTGCCCAGGCTTCTCTGTCGCCTCCTGGTTGGTCCCTGAATGGACCCACAATCGTCCTGGGCATCCCGAGACTAACTGGCTTCCTGGTGCGGACAGAGCTATCTCCAAAGAGAGATGTAGCCACCGCCTCGCATCCTTGCAACGAGACTGTGATTTCTGAGCCCGAGGACGCAGAGCCAGGCTGGGGCTCTGCTCTCCTGCCTTGCAGGATAAAGTGCCAGGAGCACAAAGGACATTCTTTGCATAGCAGAGCCCTGAGCAGCAGGCGGCAGCCCCTTCTTCGCCCCTGGGAATCCTGCCATGGCTGAGCGGCTGAGCAGCTTTGCTCTGTGGGGACGCAGCGTGCGGCCTCACGGGTTCTCTGTGCCTGCTCCGAGTCTGCCTGCTCTGGCTTCGGAGACCTAATCCCTGGAGCTTGGTAACCAGGTGTTTGCATGGAGGCGGCCTAGCTTCAAGAGAGGCTCTTCCTGCAGGACAAGGCCTTTCTCAAAGACCACAGAAGGCCCCCACCTAACCATGGGGGCCACCTGGAGACAAAGAGAAGATAGAATGGGCCAGGGTGGACTACAGAATGAGACCCTGTCTCAAAAAACAGCAATAAACAAACAAATAAACAAACAGTACCCTAGGTAGGCACTGGGGTGCACACCTATACCCCAGCACTCAGGAGGCTGAGGCAGGAGGATGGCAAGTTGCAGTCCAGTCTGGGCAATTCAGCAACTCACTAGGACTTTCTCTCAAAATAAAAAATAATTCTAGAAAGGTATAGCTTTCTAGGTGTAGCTCAGTGCAAAAGCCCTGGGTTCAATCCCCAATGCTGACAAATAAATAACTACCACGGAGCCCCCAGGTGCTGCTCATTCAGATGGAGATGTCAGGCATCCTCAGCTCCTGCGTCCCCTTCCTCTGAGGCTGGAAGAGGGCAGATTTCAGCCGCCTCAGAACGCCCCTGGATGCCAGGCTGCAAGCTGAGCACAGGTGAGGGGTCATGGTGAGGGGGCAGGGCCTTAGTTCCTCAGTCCCCACTGCAGAGCAGGGGTCCACCTGTGCTGCCAGGACAGCAGCTCCCGGGCCGAGCCTTGCCCTGAGCGACTCCATCTTACAGAGTAGTGCTTGGCTCCTTTTGAGCTCAAAGGCTGAGGCAGAACGACTTGTGACTGGTCCCTGCCAACAGATGAGCGCCAGATGTTGGCCTGGCCAGACTCATCAACAAGAAGGGCCCCAGCTGCACCTCACAGTCACCATTGTGGGACAGCCAGGGGCACATAAATCCACTGTACTAATCACCAATTACCACCTGTATGCATATCGAGTTGCATGTCTGGGACCCCCAGATGGAAGTCCTCCCAGAGAAAACCAGGCCCGCAGGGCTGACACGCTGGGCCGCTCACCTGGACAGTGCAAAGGCACAGGCAGGATGCTGAGGCATGGCAGCCACACACACGACCTGTCACCTCATCAGACCACCTGGGGCACACTTTAAGGTCACAGCAGTGAACTCGAGCTCTGTCCCGGGCTCCCACCTGCTGACTGCCCTGCGGGCTGTCGTTGAAGGCCTCTTGAGCTCCTGGGAAGTTGGGGCAGTTCGGTCGGGCCAGTAGTTGTCTCCAGCCACCTGCAGGGACCTCGTACCTCTGGGGACTCCTGCTTCTGCTCTCAGCTCTGCGTCTTCAGATCCGGGTCCCTGGTCATTGCCGTAGCAATAGGTTATTGTGGGAGATCTGAGGGGCAGCTCGGGTGCTACTGGGAATTAAGATTGGGATGATAAAGGAACCCGAGCCCTGCAGCTCCCCTGCTGGCCAGTAAAACCTCGGTACTCAGATGCCGTGGATGCTGCTTGGGACTCCCCCGTTAGTGCATCAGCGGCTGCATCCACGGGCTGCTGCTCCCGCTGGACTCTGCCTTGGCTGGGCGTGGCTCGCTCTGGCGGGGGTGGGGGGTGGGGGGGAGATGGTGGTGGTGGCAGGTGTGGGACGCTGGGGGACGGAAGTGAGAGGAGAGCTGAGGTGTCCTGACAGGAGTGTGTGCGGGGGCAAGCCTGCTGGCTGCCCAGAGACCTGCGGGTTGGAAGAGAGGACAGGCACCCAGGCGAAAGCTCTCAATCCTTTGAGAGCAAAGGGCCGCCATGTGGGGGAGGGCACAGTTACGGAGGCCCAGGGCCTGACTGTGGAGGGCTCTGCGGACCATTGTGGGATTTCTGCTTCTCCTCTGAGCCCAAGGGGAAACTGAGGCATGGAGAGTCTGTCTTTGGTGAAAGAGAAGAGGAACCCAGGGCGGGGTGGAAGCAGGAGACCTGGCAGGCAGGGTGGGCTTCTGACGGCCGGAGCTTAGGGCTCAGAGGATGCACTGGTGAGAGGGGCTGGCATTGTGTGCCGGCTGCCGGGTCCTGCCAGGGCCTCGGCCCTCTCTGTCCCCAGCATGGCCTTTTCTGCTCATTCTGTGAGCGCACCCAACTCTCACCTGCCTCAGGAACTGGCCGATCGTGGCCACTCCTCACCCCGTGCCCTTTGCCCAGCTAAATCCATGTTACTCAGGCCATACTGTGGAAGCACTTTCTGAAGCCAGCCATGGTGATGCATTTTGGGAGGCTGAGGCAGGAGGATCAAAAGTTCAAAGCCAGCCTGGGCAACTTAGTGACATCCTAACTCAAAATAAAAAAGTAAAAGGGTCTGGGAACATATTCTCAGCACAAGACCCTGGGTTCAATCCCCAGTGCCACTGCCACACAAAGTACTTCCTAAGACCCCACCCTTGGGTCTCCCAGGCACGGGTCCCTGCTGCTGTTTGCCCAGGACTCCTTATAAGGAGATCTGCATAATCCTGCCTGTCACCTTACTGTCCCTCTCCACTGGGTCCCAGGAGAGAATAGAGGACTGGAGTCCCAGTCACTGCTCTTCCATGCGGATGTGGGTGAACTCGACCTCTCAGGGCTCAGCGCAGTCACCTACCAAGCCCAGTACCTGGCGCCGGTTCCCTAAATGTCAGCAGCACAGGAAGAAGACTGGCATCGACTCACCGATGTCCAGGCCCCACCCTGGCTAGCAGGCTGCTTGCACGGCTTGCACGAGGCGGGTTTGAAATTGCTCTTAGGGGCCAGGAGTTTAGCTCAGCAGCATAAGCGCCTGCCCAGCAAGCATGAGGTTGTGAGTGTGATCCCAGGTAACAAAAAAAAAAAAAAAAAAGAAATAAACTGCCTCCTGGCAGCTGTGAATTGAGGGAAGCTGAGAAAATACAGGGTTGGTTGTGCGTGGTTGTTTAGCAGCCAGCTCTCCCCCATCTTCCACCAAGGTGAGGCGGGGTCTCCTGATCCAGAGTCACAGAGAACTGGGGCCACTGTGTCATTCTACTGCTGCTGGGGACCCAGCTGCAGTAAAATTGTCCCTGCTGGTCACTCCTGGTGGATCTGCTCTGTCCAACTTACAAGGCTGTTTCTCCAGCTCACCTTGTGATTCTGTGGACTGCATATCTTTCTTCCAGAAAGTTACCTTTGCTCAGGAGTTGGCGCATCTGTTTTCTGTTGGGACAAGCAGAAGCTGTGACCTCCAACACTACCCCACCTCTACCTCTGCAGCAGGCAGGGTGTCCTTGGGCCACCCGGGAGTTGGGACCCTCTGGTGGAGGTGTGGCAGGGCTGACACCCACAGCACCATCTGGGTTTCTCTCCCTAGTGGTCCGCGGGGCAGGGAGGCTCCGAAAAAGTGAGGAGAGAAGCAAAGGACCTGGGTTGCCAATCCTGAGCCTCTCACGACTTCAGTGAAAACGCGTTACCACCTCCGCGAAATTGATGACTACCTCAGTGAAACCCGGGGCGTCCTCACCAGAGAGTAGAGGGGTGCGTTTCCTGGGTGACGGGTGTAGAAGCACTGACCTCTCCGATTGCCTGGGCAGAGGCCTGAGGCTGTCCTGTTCCCCGAGTTCCCAAAAAGGGGTGCAAGGAGTTGGGGGACAGAAGAGGCTGAGGGTCAGCAGGAGACAAAAGTGCAGGAGGCCAGGTGCGCCGGGCGCCCTTGGTGAATGCGGCGAGCGGGGGCCCCCGGTGGAGGTGGACGCTGGCGGCAGTGGATGTGACCGAGGGACACCACCTGGGAACAGCTTCGTGGACACCCGCAGAGAAAATGGTGCCCAAATCACAGGACTTCTTTTCCCTGCCAGCCGGAGGCGGAGGAGAAAGAGAAGGGGAAAGATTAGAATTTACTGTTTCCTGAATTCTTAAAAAAAAAAAAAAAAAAAAAAAAAAATCCTATGCTATGCAACATGGAAAACTGAGATTATGAAAAATAAGGATGTTCCCACACCTGATGGGCAGAGCGGTGAGGTGTGCACCCGGAAGCAGGGTCTCACCCAAGGAAACAACACAGGCTTCGAGGCGAGCGTGGAGAGGAGGCTGGCGGCCTCAGGCTTTGGCCAAGGGCCTTGGCTGCACGCGGGCCCCACGGTGGCACGCACCGCTCCAGCTTGGTAAAGCAGGACAGTACACTGCAGAGGCCCTGAGCGAGGCCAGCGTGTGCGGGGCTGACTCCCCACGGGGCCGCCGTGCCATGGCCAGGGCGAAGACAGGCTTCCCAGAAAGCCAGGGGCGCTGCGCTGCAGCTTTAAGGCCTGAGCTGGATGGCGGCAGAGGAGCGCGAATTCGCCGCAGGCGCTCAAGGAGGGCGGGGAGGACTCAGGCAGGAGTAGCGCGCCCCCTGGTGGACATGAGGAGAATGGCAGCTGGGTGGCGGGGATTTGGCCAGGCGCAGAGGGCCAGCGAGGGCCACCCTCGTGTAAATTCAGGAAGCAGAGCTGCTACAGTAATGACTGCCCCAGGGGGCCAGCACGGGGAGGAGTAACCAAGGACGACTGAGGAAGAAAGCGGACCTTCACCAGCACTGACTGTGCACTTAGAAGAGACACGTGGGAAAAAGCCATACATACACGGGCTATCAAAGTGCACACTTTTAAAATGTATTACGAGCCAGGTGACACGCACCTGGAATCTCGGCACTCGGGCGGCTGAGGCAGGAGGATCGTTGCGAGTTCGAGACCAATTTGGGCTACAAAGTGAGCTCAAGGCCAGCCTGAACTGTATAGTGAGACCCTGCCTCAAAAAAGACAAATAAATAAATTTAAAAATTTTAAAATGCATTATGGTAGAAGACGCATTGCCATTAACTCTCAAAATACTTGCCTTTGCTTGGCTTTAAACACGGCCCGTCTCTCTTGACATTTTCTGAGGCAGCTCTGGAACCCCTCATTCACGAGTATCTTTATGAGGCGTGATAAAAACTACAGTGAGGGGCCAGAGATACAGGGGTAAGTGCCCGCCTGGCAAGCACAGGGCCTGAGTTCAATTTCTGATATCGGAAAGAAACCCACAATGAATGCTGCCATCAGGTGCCTCCAACAGAAGGCGCGGTGGTAAAAACGTTACCTGGGCCCTCATGTCTCACTGGGCTGGCACCATGTCACTTCTGGCTCTTCATCAGCCAGAGTCACCAGGAGAGGTCAGTGTGTGGAGTGGATCAGGACTCCGAGGCAGCCATCAAAGTGCAGGTAGAGATACCTACAAAAGAGGAGACCCAGGCAGCTTCACAAAGAGGCAAGAGTAATGGGATGGGCGTGTTGAAGCGAGGGGAGGATTCTGAGGGGGATTCATGGCCTATATCCTTTTACTGTCATAGAAACTTTAAAATGTAAGCAACTGCTCTGTCCATCACATCACTGACGTTAAAAACGAGCAAAGGAGGGCCAGGGGTTTTGCTCAGCAGCACAAGCGCCTGCCTGGCAAGTGCAAGGTCCTGAGTTCGATCCCCAGTACCAAAAATAAAATAAACAAAATAAAAATTTAAAAATGTGCAAAGGGAAACCAAAGTCATGGCATGAAAATCAAAGCTGAGTCCAACTCAGGAAGAGTTCATGGGAAAAGCAGATGCTTTACCAGCACTAAGGAGGTGAGAGCCAGAGGTAAGCCGTGCACCGGACCCACAACCTAAAGACGATGCACATCAGGACAGTGGGAAAACAACTGCGGGAGGGAGGTGCCGGCAAACCGTGTTTCTGATAAGGAACATAGCTCGAATATATTTTTAAAAATCTCTCCCAATTCAGTAAAAAGAAAACTCAATTTTAAAATGGACAAAGGAGGCTGGGTGGTGCCTGGCTTAAATCTAACTCCTTGGAAGGCTGAGACAGGAGGCTCATAGGAGTTTGAGGCCGGCTTGGATGACATGGTGAGACCCTGTCTTGACTATAATAATATAATATAATATAATATAATATAATATAAGCCGGGTATACATTTGCCAGCCTGAGCTACAAATGAGTTTCAGACCAGTCAGGAACACAGTGAGATCTAAAAAAACAAAAAGGCAATGGATTTGAATAGACATTTCTCCAAAGGAGACAGGAGTGGCCAAGTGGTCAGTAATGAAAAATTCTCAGCATCATTAGCAAACCCACACCATAAGGAGACACCACTTCACACTCTTTTAGATGGCTAAAATTAAAAACAGATAATGGTCTGGGGAAAGGCTCCTGTGTGACTGACCCCGCCCTGTGGTGGGTGCAGCCTCGTACCAGGCAGCCCCACCCTAACCTAAAGTAAATTCCCAGCGGAAGTTTTCCCTGGGTTTTGAATTTGCAGTAACAGGTGTGAACATTCTAGCAGCAGTTTGATGATCATGTATGATACTGCAAACAGGAAAAAAAAAAAAACAACAGATAACCACAAGTATTAGACTGTGGATGAACTGAATGCTCTTATATTGTTAGGGAGATTATATATTTTTTATTTTTATTTATGTATTTTTTGAGACAAGATCTTACTACGCAATTCAGACTAGCCTTGAACTCACAGCAATCCTCCTGCCTCAGCCTCCCAAGTGCTGGGATTACAGGTGTGTGCTACCATGCCCAGCTAGTAATATTGCAAAGCAGTTACTTTGGAAAAATTTGCAGTTCCTAAATATGTTTTTTGGTAGTACTGGAGTTTGGACCCAGAGCCTTCGCACTGAACTATATTCCCAATGTTAGTTAGTTTTTATTTTGAGGCAGGATCTTGCTAAGGTACTAAGTTGCCCGAGTTGGGCTTAAACTTGTGATCCTCCTGCCTCAGCCTCCTGGAGTACTGGATCACAGGTGCTCCCATGCCTGGCACCTTGAAAACATTAACTACAAGGTGATTCTGTATTTAGTAACTTAGTTCGTACAGACAGATGCAAGAGCAATAAAAGGCATAGTCCACACAAAACCACAAGAGGCGCACTGTGGTATCAGTCATGACAACCAAAACCAGAAACCACCCCACTCTCGTCAGCTGGTGAACAGAAACAGACTGTGGCCTATCCATGCGATGCAATGTTATTTAGCCATAAAAAGAAAATTATATCCCTGTACATACTATGAACATGGATGAGCCTTAGAAACATGCCAAGCCAGGTGTGGTGGCACATGCCTATCATCCTGGGGAGGCGGAAGCAGGTTATAGATTCTAGGCCAGCCTGGGCACCTTAGTGAGACATTGTCTTAAAATAAGAAATAGGGGCTGGGGGTTTAGCTCAGCGGCATAAGCACCTGCCTTGCAAGCAGGCAGTCGTGAGTTCGATCCCCGGTACTGATAAAAAGGAAAAAGACAATAAATAAATAAATAAGAAATAAAAAGGGCTGGGCATGCTTTCTTGGATGTTCTGTGGTGATCAGTTAATGTGGGCAGCTCGCCTGCTCCTTTAGTCGCTGTGGTGGATGAGAAGCTGGTGGTGAACTTAAACAGAAGCTGAACCAGCTCAGCATGGAGCTGAGCGTAGTCAGAAGAGCTTGGGACCTCGCTGTCACTGAGGTCTTTTGAGGGCAGCCCAGGTCCTTATTTTGAGTGCTGCTTCCCAACTCCAGTGCTGATGGCACAGCTCCTTCACCCCATTTGGCACAGACCTTCTGGCTTCCACCACTGACCTCTGGGCCTGCCCAGCACAGATCTGTGAAACAGATTTGAGTGAGTCCTTGTCGTGGGCTGTGGGCCTCCAGTTGGGGGGCATTGTCATGGGTGCTAGGTCATCAGCTGGACTTGTGCAGGACATTGCTGTGGGATCCAGGCCCTCAGCTGAATTCTCCAGCTCTTCAGTGTGTGGACAGATCTCCTGCACTTTCTTTGTATTTGACTCCTTGGGTGACCATTATAATAAATTATGTGTCCTGTATGTAACTTTTCCTTGCAACCCTGACCACAACAGTCACAAATGTGTACTGTGGTATACTGTGAGTGCCACCCACATGCCAGGGATTGTGTAAAACCCTCCTCACCAGGAGCGGGGGACCTGCTGCTTTACCCTGGCCGACCCCCAAAGTGGTGATGTAGCTACGAGGAGACTCAGGGGCAAAGAACATCAGGAAAGTCTAAAGAAATAGCACAGATGCCAGTCTTTGACCACAACTGAAAGATTTAGAAATAAGGAAAGCAGAAGCAAAAACCTCCTGTCACCAAGAAATTTCCAAGGTCTATCAAAAGCAACCAGTGTTCAAAGACAACACTGCAATCCTTTGGAAAACGAGTTCACACACAGAGAGAATGTACACCTATCTATCTGTGTGGTAATTTTCTCACAGGTACTGTTAAATTCAGGAACTGATGGGCCTCCTTATGATTACTATAATTATTTAATATTTTTCTAGAAGGAATGAGCAGTACAAGAAAGGTGGGCATGATAATGCACACATAATAGTCCCAACACTCAAGAGGCTGAGGCAGGAGAATCCTGCAAGTTTGAGGCCAGCCTCAAACAGGGCTGGGCAGCCAGTTCAGGAGCAGCCTGAAATACATAGTGAGATCCTGTCTCAAGAAAATAAAAAAACAAAACAACAAAAAAGCGAATAGCTAGTACTACTAAATAGTACTACTGCAGCTGGGCATGGTAGGGAATGCCTATAATCCCAGTACTTGGGAGGCTGAGGCAGGAGGACTGCTTCAAGTTCAAGGCCAGCCTGGTCTACAAAGTGAGTTTAAGGTCACCCTGAACTGCACAGTGAAACTCTGTCAGAGAGACAGAGACAGAGACAGGGACAGAGACAGAGACAGAGACAGAGACAGAGACAGAGACAGAGACACAGAGAAGACAACTACTACTGCTTTTATGAATAGCATCACATGGCAGAAATTAGGAAAAGCAGCCATTCTTACTTCTAGCAAGCCTGACACTGTCGCAATGGGCACAGATTGGCAAAAAACCCACAGTGTGGTGACATACTCTCAACAGGCCTGGGGAAAGGGATGCTCATATAAGGTTGGCAGGAATGAAATATTGTTAAGCTTTACAGAAGGAACTTTGGAAATATCTAGCAAAAAATATGTGTGTGATGCTTTGCATGATATAAAAATATATAGGCACATAATTAATGATAGCGCTGTTTGTAATTGCCAAATATTGGAAACATACCAACAGGCCATTTGTTAGAATAGCAAGTAAGAAAGGTCTCTGTAAACTTAGCTGATTGGGAAAGATTTCCAGGATATATTGTTTAGTGAAAAAAAAAATACATGAACTATCCTTTGTGTAAGGAAGGGATATCAAAAATACTTTTGTTTAATTTTGCAAAAAAGAAACACAAGAATAAATCAGAAATCAACGAGATTAATTTTGGAGGGTTAGATGGGAATGAAACAGGAGAGGAATGACACTTTAAACATGCACTTTGGTGCAGTTTTGACCCTTAGAAATGTGGCAATGTTTTACATGCCCAACCAACACGGACTGAAAAGAATCCTAAATTCAAACAAGGAGCCTGGCTGAATTTCAAATGAGTAATTTTGCCATCTTTGCGGGATATAATAGGGTTAAGCAAGAGAAAATCCATTAAAGATGTCAGGAGCCAGGTTTCACACATTCGCAGCAGAGTTAGGAATTGCATCATGGAACTGAAGAAAGTTAAGACAAGAAACACAAAAGATCTGGGGACCCCTATCCAAATAGGAGCGAGGCCTGAAATGCACCCCCTCTCCGGCCTCTAAAGGACCAACCCTCCCAACACCTGGAGTTCGGATTTCTATTTTTCTGGTACTGCAGACTGAGTCCAGTGGTGCTCTGCACTGAGGCCTTTCTTATTTTAAACAGGCCTTCACCACACCACCGCTGGCCTCGAACTCCCAACCCTCTTCCCTCAGCATCCTGAGCAGCTGAGATTGCAGGTGTACACAAGCTCTGGCTGGATTTTCTGACCTCTAGGACTGTGGAAGAATAAATGTGCTAATCAAAGGAAGGAAGGAAAGGAAGGAGGTTGAGAGAAAGGCAGGAAGAGAAGAAGGAGGGAATATTCAGAGTGGGAAAATGGGCCTGCAAGCTGGGGAGGACTCTGGTATAGAATGGAATTGGGTCTCACTTTGCAGCCCAGGCCGGCCTCAGCCCACAGCAATCCTCTTGCCTCAGCCTCCCACGTGCTGGGATGACAGGTGTGCAC